ATTTGTGGCCTTTTCCTCTATTTTTAATTTCATGATTTGCTATTACTTCTACAGTTGTGTTCCAATTTTTCCATGTCATCATTATAATATTTTAGCTAAGAACAATCACTCACAGATCAAATAAGCAAACAAAGTCCAAACAGAGTTGGAACATCTCAAGGCCACATGACCAGCGTGACTTCACAGGAATTATTCTGTGTATGTAAAAGTTCTGCCTTGAGCTAAATGGCAGAGGAAAGCTATGTTTAGGACATTTGTAGAAATGAAATGCTTCTAAGTTTTGTCATTCCTATCCTTCTAAACACCCATTATTTACTTGAAGCTTATATTTCTCAGGTCCAGAATGTCAACCTTTTATTTCTGCTTGAACAAACGCCTCACTTAAGAAGAACAACTGGAAGAGCTTCTGTGGGAAGCAGCCCACTGGAGTGAAACCTGGGCTCATGCCATTTAGCTTCAGACATTTCATTTAGGTGCCAGAACTTAAATATTTCTTTTCTTGACTCTTGCTAGCCAGGTTCCCAGCCCGAATCACTCTATTACAGTTTCTTTGTATTTTCACTGACATAAAAGGAAATTCAAGCAAATAGACAGGTATTTAGCTATCAAATGTAGGCTCTAAAGTCAGGCATTGCACACACTCCCCAGTTGTGACTGTATTATACAACATCAGAGACAATGTTACATAAATGGTATTTTCTTTGCATTTCATTTCATGAGCCTAAGAAATTGAAGACTAATAAATGGTTCTCATTAATAAAAAGGCTGAATTATAATTTATTTGGTCTGACACAAAGGTGATCTGCACACAGAAATCACTACATTTCATAAAGAAGAAAAATTGCATTTAATAGTAAAATAAGTTCATTTTGTTTTATCTGTATTCTTAGGGGCATCATTTAAAAAAAATTAAATGAGAGATGAAAATGAAAGATTATATATATATATATAAATGTCATTTTCATGTAATTATATATAGCACATTAAGAAGCAAGACAATCTGTAGTCACTTTGAAAGTGATAAAATCAGCCATGCTCATTGTTTGCTGTTGAGCATCAAGAATCTCACCCCTTTCCAACTGCAGTGTGTTGCAGCAGCTTCCTTTAATCACAGAGCCTCGAAGCAGCTCCCTTCTGCCAATCCTTGCAGCCGCATTGCTGCTTTCAGCTCCCCATCTAACAGACAAGTACATCTCAGTGTGCAAAAACTGCACCAAGGGAACACAGAAAGAAGAAAGAAAATCATTCCTTCAAAAGGCCTGGCAGAACATAAAGCATACAGCTAGAGATGTAGATATAGACTCAAACTCCTAATTATATTTTTTCTGCTGTTGATTCTCGTAAAATATATATGCAAATATATTCTTAGCAAGTATTGAGCATTAGAGAGAGAGGGGAAAATACAACCCCCAAAATGGTATTCTGCGATTAAACTGATGTCTGCAAAACAGGAGATCATGCTCAATTAAAAAAAAAAAAAAAATCTCATTACCAGTAAGCCACCTGCTGAGATAGTGAGTCCTCTCAGAGACTCCTGTGTCTTTTAATATTGAATTGTCTACTCTGGAGTGCAAAGGAGGGAGAGGAAAAAGGGGAGGAGGATCCTCAATTTCATTAGATTTTGAATTTCCTTCTGGAGGTGCCTATCTATCTCCCTTGACAAGATCAGAGTCTTAGGGCCTCACTTGGCTTCTTTCAATAGTACAAGCAGCACGTTCAGGAGATTGAAAGCCAAAAGAAGACCCATTTAAGGCATGGAAGACTGTAACAGAGCAGGTACCCACACTGTTAGGCTATTCATTCACAAGCTAAGAATTCTTATATTTGCACTGTTCATAATGAGGGTAAAATAAAAAATAGACACTTTCAACAGAAAACTTTGGGTCAGACCCTGACTTCTTTTAAATTGCTGTAGCCCCATTATGAGCATCATGTTATTTAGGTTAAAAAAATCATCTGAAGTTGCAACAATTAGTTGGCAACAATAAGTTGCATTTGCAACATCCAAAGAACTGTATAGCAAGAAAATGGAAAATTCTACCATTATCTATCTTGAGAAGCAAGTGTAGCGAATGTAATTCTCCACAGTCTAAAACACAACAGTATTTGCACAGATAAAAAAATGAATGCTAAGTGGCTGAAAATGCCAACAATCTGAATAGGTAAACTTTTACAACTAACTTACAAAAGCCTTCAGGAATTGCATGCAGTGTAGGACAGTACCATGTAAGACGTGTCATGATAGCACACACTGGTTATGTCATTATTACCTTTCTAGTGATAACACCATGAATAGAATAGGGGTAACTTATTAAATTGTTGATCCACTCCAAAATTAAGCTTTTTCATGGGAGTTTTTGACTAAGCACTAGTAATGCAAATGGAGAGGTTTTCTATGTATATACACTTTTCAAATGGGATTTTGAATTGCGTGGTTTCTGTGATGTAATACATGTAAAAATAAGCCAGTTTTCTAGAGTAATACTGTAGAGCACCTCTTTTTTAGGGTGATCTTGTTTTCAAATGCATTTGAAAATGCAGTCTAAGTAACCTGATTTTATATGGAATTACATAAATGTAGACAGGGAAAGTCGTAAATGAAAACACACTACATAGTTTATGCTGCTTAATCTACACCTTTTTTGTAGCTGATGGGAATTCTGCCATTGAATTAGATTTAAAAAAATACTATGATGTTTTAAAAGTCCTATTTAAATGTCTTTTATCCACTTTTTTTTTAATTCAACCCATTATTTCTGCTTTTTGAGGGTAGGCAAATGTTCAGGTTTTTGGAAAGGATGACCCTGAATGATGAGGAAATGGGCATCTTCTCTATGTCCCAGTCACACAGTGGACAATCAAGTCTAAGGCAGCTTTCTTGCCAGCTGCCTGAAATATTGCTACCTTGGCAGTTGTGGAAGAGCACAGAAAACTCAGCTGAGACACCAAGTACATCCCTGAGTCTAGAGTCACCCCACAGCTCTGCACTTCCATAGCTAAGCTGCTGCCACTAGAAAAGTTACAAAGATGAGATGAAGTCATGCAATAACTGCAATATGGACAAAATCAAAATAGGTCACACAGAGTGAATGTTGCACTGTGGTGGTAAAAGACAAGCTTATAAAGAACTGAGCAAGAGACAGAAAATATGAGGGAGCAATGTGGTTAAAACTTAGAAGCAGATGTTATGGCATTCTAACTTTCATTATGCTAGAGATGATTATTAATGATCTGCCAGGCCAAGAAAGCAATGAGGTAGCACAATATGAAGATGACAGAAAATAATTTGAATTAATTTGAACAAATAAAACATGAATTTCAGAGATACCCCGTGAAGTGTATCAAATCCTGTTTCTTTCTGCTAAGCCTGGAATAGAACTAAATTTTTAGCATTTTCAGGTGGTATTTTTACACATCCAGAAAATCAAAACATGAACTGAAGAGAGGGGTGCACTGGGTAATTAAAAATAAAAGCATAAAATCATAAAATTCCTGCCCCCTGCCCTACACACACACACACACACACACACAAAAAGTCTGGGAGCAAAATTGGTGATTTTCACCAATCACAAAAAGATAACCTATGAATTCAACTGTCTACATTAGCATACTGAAAATACTATCACTTCCTGTACATTTGTACACATCAGCTTGTGTTATAATTTAATTCTTCAGGCATTTCAACAGTAAATGAAACATTATTTCCATCTATCACTTACTACACAATCTTCGTGCTTTTGTCTATCTGAAATAATGAGCAGATAGTTAAAAACAAGCAAGGTGTAATTCACTTTTTATATATGTCATTATTTTGCCTCCCTTTCACCTCCTTGCTGTATCCATCTGCTTTCTGCAGTGTTGTGCTTAGGACATGCTAAATATGCTTAATTTATGTAAACAGTCAGTGACAGAGCTCGTCATGCATGAAAGTAAACACTGATGTATGTCTCTGCCTTAGAGAGGACCTACAGTTAGTTACACGCTGTGCAGTGTCTTGTGAAGGAGCCCTGATGGTTTACTCCTACCACCAAAGCAACTGCTACAGTGACAGCGACAAAAGCGACAAAAGCGAGGGCAGGGGAACCTCAGCTGGGCTTTATATCGAAGGGCAAGACCACCTAAATTTCACATTTCAGGGGCTCAGTGATGTTCTGAAGCTAAGCTATATAACATCAATTTCCATGATAGTGTAAGAAGCTTGTGGACAAGAGGTGTAAGCGTGGCTTGCCATGGAAGATGACGCCTACACACACACACGTGTGACAGCGACAGGCGGCTCGGGGCGCGGGGCAGCGCTGCCCTCACCCTTGCACACGATGGGAACCAGATGGGGATCGGCCTCTCCTCCCTGGCAACTGCCTGTGTGAGGACATAGTGTTGAGCTGTGCTAGGGGATGTTTAGGTTGGACATTAGGAAGAAAATCTTCACAGAAAGGGTGGTTAGATAACAGAATGGACTGCTGAGGGAGGCGGTGGAGACACCATCCCTGGAGGTGTTAAAAGACCGGACGTGCCACTCGGTGCCACGGTCCGGTTGACAAGGTGATGTTTGGGCACAGGTTGGACTCGATGATCTCAGAGGTCTTTTCCGACCTAATTGATTCTGCGGTTCTGCCATAACCACGCCGCCGGCGCTGTCCCCGCACGCCGGGCGCAGCGCTGTTCCACGCGTGGAGCGAAGGAGCCGCTGAGCGAGGCGCAGCCCGCCGGGCAAGGCACGGACGACACCGGGCACAGGGAGCCTGCGCTCGGCCGTGAGTGACTCCGAGGCCACGGGGCCGAGCGGGCCGCGGTGCCGGCGCCGACCCCGCCGGTCCGTGTCCCTCAGCCTGCGCCCCACGCGGGTCCGGGCCCCGCTCCCGCCCGCCCCGGGGCTTCCCCCGCTCCCGCCCGCGCCGCCCGGCCCCGCGCGCATGCTCGGAGCGCGGGGCGGCGCGCGGGGCGGCGGTCCTGCAGTGCGGGGCGGCGGCGGGCGGCGCGCGGGGCGGAGCGGGGGCGCGCACAGGAGCTGCGGCGCGAGCGGCGGCGGGCGCGCACCGAGGCGGCGCCGCGTGTCCCTACGGCCCCAGCAGCGCGCGGGACCCCGGGCCCTGCGCCCTCCTCCGCACCGCGGACAGACCCCCGCCCGCAGTAAGTGCGGGGAGGGCCCGCAGGGGGAAAGGGGGGGGGATCCGGGCTCCGCACCCGCGAGGTGCGGGCGAGAACCGGCTGCCGGGCTGCCCCGCTCGGGGCTTTTCCTCCCGGGAAGGCGGCGGGATGGAGGCGCGGCGGGGCTGAGGCGGGGGCTGCGCGGCCTCGGCGCTGCTCGGCGGTCGGAGAACATCCTCACCGGGAAAGTTGGTGTGCGCGGTCGGTGTGCGGGAGTTGTTCCGCTGGCGAGATGGAGGGAAATCGTACCCGCGGCGATTTGCCGTTAACTGTGGAGAGATGGGACCGAATCCCCCACCGATCCGGATATGGGCACCGACAGCATCCAAAGGAACAGCTGAGCTGTCGCGTAACAATTTGCGCTTTGAAACGCTTTGGTGGAAGAGGGAGTCTGGCGCTCGTGTTCGTTTGAAAAGGGATAGCGAAAAGGGCGTGATTTTTTTTTTCCAGTAGGGAAAGGAAAAAAAAAAAGAGAAAAAAAAGACCGTGCGAAACCAAGCGCCAGAGCAGCTCTCACAAGGTCATCACACCACGAGGGAGGCAAAAGTGCTCCCGATCCATGCGATCGCTGTATCGCTGTTCACAGTGCCTGTAAGGGATGTTTTTATTTTATCGTTTAATTTATTTAACAGGCGAAGTGTTTGCAGGTGGTAGCGGGGTAGGTGCGGGGCGGAGGTGCCGCGCTCCTGCTATTTACTAGGGCATCAATCGGAGTGAAGATGGAGGTGGGAGGAGATAACAAAAGCTGGTGTGCGATCCTGGGCATCTCCCACACGAAGGCGTGAGAAGGAGGAGGGAAAGGAGACGGCAGGAGAGAGAATTTCATTTCCAAAGATCAAAACAAAAGGTGGAGCAGGTTGAGGCAGATCGTGAGCAGCCGGGGCGGAAAGCGAGGGAGGCGATTTCCGCGCTGACCCGAGCGGAGCGGAGCGCGGGGGCTCTGCGGGGGCCGGGATGTGCGCGGCTGCGGAGGGAGGGAGGGAAGGAGCGCGGGCGGGGGCTGCCCGACCGGCGCAACTTTGCGCGCCAGCATCGCTTGGAAATAAGCTGCTCGCACCCGGAGAGACGCGCTGCTTGTGTGGGGCGAGGGGAGGAACGCCTGCCGGTGCCCCGAGGGCTTCTTCGCCCTCCTCCTCCATCCCCCGGCGGGAAGAAGCGGGTCCGGGGTGCGGGGGGAGCGCGGTGCCCAGCGCTGCGCGGGGGACGCTTCCCCGGCGCCCGTGGTGCCGCGCCGGGACAGGGGGCTCGGCGCCGTGCGGGGCGCTGCCAGAAGGGACCCCAGCACTGCCGCCCTCCCGCACAGCTCGGTCCCCGCCGCTCGCTGCCCTCTGCAGCGCTGCCCGTGCCGCCCGCTCCCCCGGTGCGAGGCTTTTCCCGCCCGCCCGCCCGGAGGTGTCCCCACCCCCCGGAGTCCCCCGCTCTCCCCACTGCCCCCACCGGGGAACGCCTCCCTCCTCCCACCCTAGCCAGGCGGTCCCCTTCCTGCATGAAGCCACTTGCAAGGTTCCCCTCACCCCAGCTTCGCATCCCGTCCCCAATGCCAAGAGCTTTTCCCCTTTCTTCTGCTGGGTGTTCCCCCGGCACCTCCCCGGCTTGCCCCATCCCGGGCTGGCTGCTCCGGCCCTCCGGCGTACGGAGGAACCGTCGGGGATTGGGAGGGACAGGCGAACGGGAGGGGGGGTGATGTTACGCAACTGCAGACCCTCCGCTTCCCCGGCCCTGGAGGAGCCTGTTCAGGGGCTTTTCGGTGGTGGGACAGGGCTCTGCGCCTTCCTCGGGCGGACGGCAGCTGGAGGCGGAGCGGGCGGAGCTCCCGCTGCCGCGCAGGTACCGCGCTCCCGAATCCCGCACGACCCGGAGCAGTGCAGCAAGGCGGGGAGGGGGTTTGCCTGCACCGCCAGGCTTTCCGGCTGACAAGCAAACGTGCAGATAACAGGGTGATGAAAACACCTGCCCTTTACATTAAAATTGAAGCGTGATTGCTTGGGCATTAAACCCATAGCCAATTATCAAAAGGCCAAATACATGAATAAATTCCATGTTCTTGTACAGGAGATGTTATTGTAGCAGATGGGTTTAAGCAATACAGATACTTCTCCCAACAATTCTGCTGGCAATATATTTTTAGCAATGTTTTGTTATTAGTGTGCCTTTGGATAGACATTCTCTTCCTTCACATATTGGAAAGTTCAGATCTCCGAGGTATCACTATCTCTTTATGAAGAATAAAAAGATGGACATATTTCATAACCAGAATACGATATGCAACAGATTAATCACACAGAAAAATAAGTGTATGTGGAAGCTCAGTCTCTGTAGAATACACAATCACTGTCCCTTTCAGAATGCGTACTTCCTTGTAGTTGTTTCTATCACACATTTTCAGAGTCATTAGTTTTCACTACTACCCTATTACTTGACAGAATGCCTTTCCTTTTTAAAGAACATAGTTCATTTAAGAACATCAGTTTGCTTGAAAGATCTTCTAGTACAGTCTTCATACAGCACAATCCATTTCAGGTTTGTGGACTGCGATCAATTCTAATTAAAACTTTAATTATGTTTTTCTCCATTCAAACAAAGCATGAAGTAGTCTGGGCTGATGTTGCTGTCAAGGAAAAGTAAGGAAACATGTTCTTCATCTTGGTTATGTGTTATCCCTACCTTTTAATTAAGGACTGAATCCTTAATTTTGTTATTTATCCACAAACTTTTATGACATAGAGCTGCAATATTTAACTGGTTTTCTAGGTTGCCCTGTCTTCTTGACTGATACAAAGGTATACCTGCACAACACTGATTTTTCAACGTGCTCCTTGTTCTGGAACATGCAGCTATTGCCAGCAGATCGGTTGTGTCATCAAGCGGCATCTACTCCAGAGTATCACAGCGTTATGTAACTCACAACACAGAGCAAATGCCAGAGATGTCTCTGCCGCTGCCGCTCCGTTGTGCGGTTCCCTGTGTGCCTTCCCCTGCTGTAGTGTACCAGAACACTCAGAGCTGATGCCACCCCACAGCACCAGCCAAAGGGAAACTCTGCTCTGGCCGAAATGATGAGGCCAAGTGTAACTGGGATGTGATGGAGAGGGCAGGCTAGGGCAGAGCAGAGCAGGGCAATGAGGCTGGCTGTGCAGGATGGAAGCGGTGCAATGCCACTGGCTCTGGTGCTGTTTGGAGAAGGCGCCACGTGTCCCAGGCTGCGACATCCTGCTGACTGCAGCGTGTCTGGGGTCTGGGGGGATCCCAGTGTTCCTTCCAGCAGGGTCCTCCTGGAGAGCTGCAGCACCATTGTGCTGCTACAGGCCTCTTGACTTTTCTTTCTGTCTATACACTCAATATAGCTGCAGGATCTAAATCTAAGGATACAGGTTCCCTTAAGAAACACATGAGTGTGGTGAACTTTGTTTTGGGTGATTCCGTAATTGTTTACATTTCAAGCTGCTGTCCTGGTTCTGTTTTTCAGTTTTGGAATTGTAATGTTATGTCTGTCTGCGCAATGGATTCCTAAGCTTTTTTGTATTGTATCTGTGCCTCATTCTCCCATTTTAGGTATTCAGTTCTGTTGACCTTTGCAGATTCCCATAGATTTCCAGAATTTTATGTCACTTGGCCAAAAAGTGCTGGCTCATTCTCTAATTGTGAATCAAACAGCAATAGCAATGTACACTAATTGAAGATAGAGTTAGAAAATTTAAAGTATGGTAGACAGATCTGGTTTTAAAGTCCTAGGAATTGAAACATGCAGCACTTACCCTGAGCAGCTGTGCTCCTCGTCTGTGATGTTAAACATTGTCAGCACCGGTCTTCATCCTTTTGTTTTTAATAGGTATTGTTTTAGCAGTGTGCATTTGGGCTAAATACCCTTTGATTTTGAGTTGTCTGTAAAGAAGCTTGTTTCCAGGTGGGTTTGATTGCCCATGGATGCTTTGCTTTCTTTAATTTTGTCTTACATTAACAGAGAAAAGCACAGTGTGATCTTCCTGCATTATTTCTCATGCCTAATTTCGATTCAGACTACTCTATAATGAGCTTAGACCATTTCATCTGTCCCCATTTTCTTTTGGGTTACTATTACCTGCATTTGCACACCTTTTGTCATTCTCTACATGCTTGGGTTTTTTCTTCCTTCGGAGTGTAATTTTGTTCCTTCTTTTTGTGCATGTTCATTGCGGTTTTGGATCGCTTTCCACCTGACCAGTTATTTTCTTTTCTGTTTATTTCTTTCTTGGGAAAGACCATGGTTTACCCCATAGCTTCTCTCCATGGCATTGCTGAAGCCTCTGTGTGGTACAGGAATACAGCACCAACAGGGAAGGCTGTGAGCATTTGCTGTGCTGGAAGATGTCAGGATCCAGATGGGCTCCCATCACAGGGCGGCGCTTTCTTACCTCAGCTCCAACTACTTGTCTTATTCATAAGGAGAGAATCTTAAATTTTGACTTTTATGCTATTGGTCTGAGAGTGATAGCTATAAAACTTTTCAAAGAAAATTAAACAGATGATAAAAAGGATATTTGTTCATGTAATGCAAAATTTCAGAGTGGTGCTACAAATTTTTATTGCTTTTTAAGTTGTAAAGTGCTAAAATATATATGTATTTTTTTTTTTTTTAACTATGTCGATGTTATCCACAGGCTCTCTGCTTTCAAGAGTTTTTCCACATTTGGATGTGAATGTGACTGAAAGGACAATAATACACTTGTAGTAAGTTAAGGCAGATCATTAGAGATGGTCTCATAGATGAAAGTTGAAAAAAGCAAGTAGTTTCAAGGAGACAGTTGAAGGAGAAAAAGATAAAAGCGACTCGATAGTCAAATTCACTGATTTGTTTATAAGAATATCAAGCTGTTTTCCTTTGTGATTATTCCCCTGAGGAAAGTAAGGAACAGAATATGTTTAGTAAAATAACTTGTAAAACCACAGCTAATTGAAATAAATTGTGCTCCTTCAGAGTGAAAGGACAACTGCATCTTTTTTTG